AAACTTCCTAAACTGCTCCCCCCAACCCAATTGATTGTCCTTTGCTCTTCGGGCCTCCTTCCTTCCCCCTAGCAACAAATTCTCTGATTCAATTGTGACTTCTCTGGACGCCTAAGCCAGGAAGCCATGCATCCCAGAAACTGTACCTTGGGCCTCACCCTCCCTCTCCTCACCCTCTTTGCCCTTAGAGCACCAAACTCCTGAAATAACTATGACTGGCCTGCAAGATGGTTGACTAGATTTGGAGGCTCACCACCTAACAGACTCAGTATGGTTAACTATTGCCTAAATCAAAAGTGAAACCCTGCTGAATTTTCTCCAGCCTTTTGAGAGCACACTTGTCAGGGTGAGGGGACGGCTGGCAGCTCTGCTCCCCTGATCAGAAGGGTGGACAGAGAACAATGCTGGAACCAATCTACAGCCCAACAGAGAGTCTGTTTCTGTTCCGGTTCCTGGCTGTACTGCCCTCCCCAGACTAGGCATTATTTTAAAAAGTCCTTCGCTAGTTTCCTGTTGCCTGCAACCCAGGGGCTATCCTTGGTGGCCTCTCACCCAGATCATTACACCATTTAGACTTTCCATAATAGTAAACCATATCCTCTTAAATGTACCCTGGGCATGCATGTGCTTGCGTGCGCGCGCGCGCGCACACACACACACACACACACTCTCTCTCTAACATTCTATTCACTAAGGCCTCAAGGTCTTTACCCCCAGAGTCTTCCCACATCTCTGGGCCTTTGTCCCAGTCTTTTCCTTGTCCCTTGGCTCTCAAATCCACCTTCCCAAACCCTAAATTACCCTGTCCTCTGGGCCATCAGGGCTTGCCATGGTCTGTATGGCACTCAAGCTGGCTGTGTGGGCCCCTGTCTACCCCCACCCCCTCCCCAGTGTCCAAGCACACGGGAGGCTGAGCTCTTTGAGGGCAAATAGCACTGACACCAGTCACATGTCGGGGGCTCAGGCACTTTCACAGAATCAAATTAAAGGAGACTCTGCTAATTCAAAATGGTACCAGGCTAGCAGCTCCCATCTTAGTTTCTGCTACTTTCCTGTATAAAGACTCCAAAAAAGAAAGAAAACCTGGCACGTGGCCTCGGACTTGGGCACATCAAAGGCCCTCCAACTGTGGTTCCAAATAGATTGTGCCCAGGGACTTGGTCAAGGCAGCTACCTGAGCATAGGCTTAGAAAGGAGACCCCCTTTCCTCCCTTTGACCGAGCAATTCTCTTGCTAGGAATTTATCTTAAGGAATAATTAAGTATGCTGATAAAGATTTAACCACAAGGGAAAACAGGAACAAAGTACATGCCTACAAGAAAGGACAGGCTGAAAAACTGAGGTAAATCTGTGTGAGAGTGTACTGTATATCCAATAAAAACTATGTTCTAAGGTTATGTTTGTTGACATGCGAAAATGTCCATGATTTATCATTATTAGCAAAAAAAATTCAGGTTACAGAATAGAATATGTCGTCCAATTTTTATAATAAAAACCTACCACTGATACATGCAGAGGATAAAGTCTGGAGGAATATACGTCGGAGTGCTGACAATGGCGATCTCTTGGTAATGGAATTATGGCTAATGGTTACTTGCTTCTTTTAGCCTATTTGTTTACTTAGACAATGAACATGTACTTCTCCATTAATATATAGATGGTATTAATAATAAATAGAGAAGCAACAGAGTGCCATGCAAGCTGTCTCTTTTCTTCTAAGCTCCAAGACCCGGTTCTCTGAGTTTCAATTTTGGCTGTCAGGAACAGGCGCCGATCTTTTGACAACAGATTTCATCTGCCAATAACTTGCTGCAGGATCCTGGAGAAAGTTCCTTAACTTTTCTTTTTCTGTAAAATGTGCATAAAAATAGTGTCTAAGATGGGGGGAGGGTATAGCTCAGTGGTAGAGCGTGTGCTTAGCATGAACGAGGTCCTGTGTTCAATCCCCCATACCTCTGTTAAAAAATAAACAAAAATAAATAAACCTAATTACTTATCCTGCAAAAAATAAAAGATAAATAAATTCATTAAAAATTTTAAAATTACCTCCTTGCCCTCTCCACCAAAAAAAAAAAAAAGTGTCTAAGGCAATTCTATGGAGAAAAGAGTCTCCCAAACACAGGGTGCTGGAACCACTGGACATCCACGTGCAAAAATATGAATCTAAATACAGACCTTATATCCTTCACAAAAATTAACTCAAAATGGATCCTAGACCTAAATGTGAACCACAAATGTCAAAACTCCTAGAAGATAACATAGGAGAAAATCTAGATGACCTTGGGTATGGCCATGACTTTTCAGATACAACACCAAAGGCAAGATCCATGAAAGAAAGAATTGATAAGCTATATTGCATTAAAATTGAAAACTTCTGCTCTGTGAAAGATGCTGTCAACAGAATGAGAAGACAAGCCACAGGCTGGGACAAAATATTTGCAGAAGATGCAGCCAATAAAGGACTGTTATCCAAAACAACCACTCCTAAAACTCAACAATAAGAAAACAAAACAACCTGATTAAGAAACAAATACCTTGTGGGGAGGGTATAGCTCGGTGGTAGAGTGTGTTCTTAGCATGCAGGAAGTCCTGGGTTTAATTCCTGGTACCTCCATTAAAAACAAAAACAAAACCAGAAGTACATGGGTACTTAACACTTTCTGCTCAACTTTGCTGTGAACCCAAAGCTGCTCTATGAAAATAGTCTGTTAAAAAAATCTGTACCTCACTGGATTGCTGTGAGAGTTAAATGGCTTTATTCTCGCAGAGCTGTTCAAATAGCTCCTGGCAAATAGTAAGCATGCAATACATTTTAGCTAAAATTAAGTCAAATCAGCACACACATACACGAGAAAAGGTTTTTTTTTTTAACGCAAATGAAAAAGACTTTCTATCTGGATGGAAAAGTCTAAGGACTTCATGCCTAAAACTCACAGAACCTGGCATATTCTAGATGCTTAATTGTGAACAGGTAAGCAAAGGACTCGAACCCTGAGAATAAATGAAATTGCTTAGGGAGAAAGTGTGGCATGAGGAAAAGAGTGGGCCCAGGTTTGGGTCTTCCGCCTCTAAATGTCATAATCAGCTAGAGAGAGAGAGAGAGAGAGACAGGCGAAGGAGACTGAGAAATGGCCAGATGGGAACAAGGAGTGTTTGGTGACTGAAAACCAAGAAAAGAGAGTGGTTCAGGAAGGAGGAAGTGGCCGGCTGTGCTGGGTGCTCTGCTGAGAGGCCGGAGCAGAGAGGGTGTGAGGGTGTCCCTCAGGTAACAGAGGTCTCCATGACTGTGGTAGATGTGGCTGCGGTGGAGTGGGAGGGGCTGAAGAATGACTGACAGATACTGAAACAAGACGGAGTGAAGACAACTTTCAAGAACCTTGGGAAGGAAGCAAAAAGGCATTAGCAACCAGAAGGGAAATTTAAGACACAAGAAAGTTTATATTTGTTTATTTTGCTATTAGGATGGAGTGCCTGAAGCAGGTCTTTGATTTGGGGGTGTGTGTGTGTGTGGAGGTAATTATGTTTATTTACTTATTAATTTGTTATTGGAGGTACTGCGAATTGAACCCAGGACCTTGTGCACGCTAAGCAAGCACTCTACTACTGAGCTATACCCTCCCCTGCGGGAGCAGGTTTAATCGAACACTGATGAGAAGGGATGCTTTCTCCATGTCCATGAGGGGCAGGAAGAGCATGAGGCAGGTGGGAGGGTGAAACAATCCCCATCAGAGACTTTTTTTCTTTGTGCAGTAGGAAGCCAGGCCATTTGCAAAGACTGAGGAGAACTGGAAGAGCTGTGTGGTTCAGAACAGGGCGGAGAGAGTCTGACAGGCTGAGCAGAACAGCCATAGATGGCAAACGATAGCCTATGGGATCCTTATACTGCTGCATTCCTTCCCCAAGTTCTTCCCATCTCTATTTCCATAGCCAAGGATACTGAGACCCAGAGAGAGGAAGTCATTTGTTCAAAGTCACACAGCACATTAGGGGCAAAACTTTGCTTGGGGTCAGGTGTTTGGACCTCCAGTTGAGGGCACAGCCGTTCTACGGCAGCCATCACCTTTCCTGTGTCTGCTCTTCACCTAGTGCTGTTCTGTCAGGCTCTTTTCAAAGGATGGGCTCCTGAGTCTTACCTGATGTTGCATCATGCCTCTGCCCTGCCATGCAAAGCCTTGCACAGAGAGGGGACCCAAGCAGTATCTTCTCAGCTAATGAATGATTAGAAATCAGGCTGTCCTTCTATTTTGCTCTTCTTAAAGGCAATTCCTTCCTTATGGAATCCTTCCTCTCTCACCCCTAATTCAGAATCAGCCAAGGGGAGGGCAGAATGAGCACCTCATCTCTTTGTCCTCTAGGATAACAGATGCCAATTCCTATAGTATCTGCTCTCCTACACTGGGACACGGATGATATATTTACTTATGTACACTTCATCTTGTTCTGGAAAAGACTGAATGTTCCTACAGTGCATGCGTTGCTAAAAAAAACAGTCCTTGTGTTTACGGCGGTTGTCCCAATGCTCCACATAACTGGATCTGTCTCTCACAGATTCTACTAATTAATGGGTGGCATTTCCTCAGGGGCCTGGGAACTCACTTATGTAAATGAATGCAAAATAGATGGCTCATTAGAATTCCCACCCCCAAAACTTGTCACATTATAAAGATAGAATCAGGAAGGAGCAATCATTAATTATCCACTCAGCAGGCTAGTTGAACTAATATATACATCTTTACTGTTACACAGAGGTAACCGTATTCAAATGCCAATAGAGGACCTATAATCTTGCTCTGGTGGGTACTCAGATGACAGAATCAGAGATGCAGAGAGCATAACAGAGTGGACCTCTGCTCTAGGCTTGGGTCCATCACTATCTTTCTAAATCTCATCTCTTTTGGGTCTGTTTCTTGCTGGACCTGATAAAATGAAGTAAGAACTTTTGTAATACAAACTATTTCTGCCTGTGGACCAGGCCTCTCGGGACTTTGATGTCCCCTCAGGCACAGCAACCAGCCGCTTGTCCTCAGGGCAGTCAGCGCCTATTAGTGAGCCAGAGGAGAGTGGTGCCACTAGTCAAATCATTCCCTTGTGACCTGCGGGAGCTCTGTGTCTGGTCCTGGATGTGCGTCCTGGGGTCTGAAACTCTGACTGGAGCACTGGAATGCAAGGTAAACTGATAGGCGTGTTTAACCTAGTGACATTTTAATGTTCCTCATCACTTTTTTTCTTTTAATGGAGGTACTGGGGATTGAACCCAGGACCCTGTGCATACTGGGCAGGCACTCTTCCACTGAGCTGTTACCCCCCACCCCCCATCTCTTTTTAATAGCTGTGCAGGACTGACTCTGAAAGATGTTTCTAAGAAACTCAGTATTTGAACCTCTCTATAGGTTTGGCTAGTGGATTCTATATGAAGATAAGGCAAAGATCAAAAAATAACCTGACTGGGACCAAACAGTCTTCCTCTACTTCTGTTTCATTTCCATTTCCTGAGCCCCCAAATCCTTACCATGAGCCGGGGACTATCCCCGGGCAGGTGTGCAGGCCCAGGCCAGGGTGGATCAGAGCACGAGGAGCTTGCAGAAAGATGGGTGAACTATCCTCAGCTGAGGGACCTCCAGCCTCTGGGCTCACAGGATCAGGCTACCAGGTCCTGGGAAGGGAGCTATTCCTCCAGAGCAGGAATGAGTATTCTGCCTGGAACACACAAGTATCCAGGTGCCAGAAAAGACTGTTAATTCTGTGGTTGTAGGTAGGACTTTTCCAGGCACTGGGAATTTCAAGGTGGATAAAACATGATCCATGTCCTCAAGGAGTTCACAAGTGGCTGGTCCTGAAGACGAGCTCTGTCTAGGCCTGGGAGGTCCCAAGGGAGCATCCAAAATCAAGTTCCTGGACAGGCCAGACCCTTAATATCCTTGGCCCTAGCAGTGTTGTGCCAAGAAGGCCTGGAAAGCCAGTTAGAATTTGCTCCTTTTCTGCACAGTCAGTGGACTTTACTGCAGTAACCACTTTCCTCTCTAACCAGGCACAGCTTTATTAGAATGCTAGAAAATTATTGTTTCCTTTTAACTTTCTACTGATGATGACTCCTATTCAGTCATTGTCTTTAGTTCCCAATGGAGGAAGGAAATAATAAGGTGCCTTCAGGCACCTCCCCTGCCTTTTAAATTATGAAGTGCACCACATTCACAGAAGAGTCTATGGACAGTTTAACGCTAAATAACAAAGGAAAGGTTACCCACGTGGGCCTGAAACCCAGCTGTGTGCCCCTCCCCAGTCTCTGCCTTCCCTGACTACTCCCATCTCTCTAGATAACCACTGTACTGATGTTTATGTTAATCATTCCAGTTCTCTTTACAGTTTTTTTGGGGTGTCTGTTTGGAGGGTTTTTTTTGGGGGGGTAGGTAATTACATGTATTTATATATTTATTTTTAATGAAAGTACTGGGGACTGAACCCAGGATCCTGTGCATGCCAGGCATGCACTACCACTGAGCTGCACTCTCCCCGCTTCTTTGCAGTGTTGCTCACCATATCACACATCCCTAAGCAATCTATGGCTTAGAGCTGAGTGACACAAACCCAGCTGTGTAAGGAAAGAGCGTCACTGACACCATCAGATGGGGTTTCCCAGTGAGACAGGCTGACTGGCATCACTGGGGGGCAGTATAGCTTCAGCTTTCCTGAGTTTTCAAAAGCTTCTTCTGGGGAAGTCAGAGGGCAAAGCCATAAGTAGAGGCTGATTCAGGATTTGTGGGGCCTGAAGATTATATAATTTGGAGGACTCTAAGAAGAGTATGAGTTCAAATTTTCAAATGTTGAGTTATGCACAGGGCTTTGAGAGGGACACATATGAGTAAGGGGCTAACGTTTCATGAGATGCTGGTAGATAAGTCCCTGGCCATGAGGGCTCACCTGTGTCCAGGCATCTGGGAGATCTGCAGTGTGGGTGAGGCACTGAACAACTGGAAGAAATAGGGTCAAAAGGACAGGGCTGCTTTGTATTTTCTGCTTCTAAGCTTATCGTAGCCCATGTCCAGCTCTTAAGAGTAGGTCAGAGAAGAACACTTCAGAAACAGGGGTGTTTTGTGAAGTGAGGGTTCTCAGCTGATCCTCTAGAAGCAGAGCATAGAGAGATGAGTAGGAATTTCCTTAATTATGATGAAGCCATGACAAACACAAACAAACCTGTCCTCAAATTTAAGCGAGGGTGTACTGTCAGTGGGGATTTTGGTGATGACAGTTCTCACCATGTCTGTTTCTTAGTTAATCTCTGTGTCTGGTATACAGCTATTATTATGGGATTTCCTTTTACCATCCTCTGGGGAAATCCTTGTCTCTCTCCTGTTTTAGATCCTCCTCCTTGCTTTATTCTGTCTTTGAGTGGAGAACATTCTTCAGTAGCTTCCTGAGAAAGGATAGGTAAAACATTTTGAGATATTACATACTTGAAAAATGTTTTTCCCACTCACATTCTCAACTGGTAGTATGGCTGGGTATAGAATTCTAGATTGGAAATGACATTCTTCAGAATTTTGAAGGCTTCATTGTATTGTGGCTTCTAGTGCCATTCTGATTCCTAAACTTTGTATATGACCCACTTTTTTTCCTCTCTAGAAGCAGTAAAATCTCTTGGTCTCTCAATGGTACCAGCCACTTACGGATTCTTCAGTCTGGCAGTTCGTTCTATTCTTGAACAATACCATTGGTTGTTCCTCCTCCTTTTTTATCTGTCTTTTTCTGGAAACACTGCTATTTAGATATAAGTCCTTCTGAAATTGTACTCTAATTTCCTCCTTTTCCTCTCTTATTTTCTGTCTGTCTTTTTGCTGGGAAATTTCCCCAGTGTTATATTCCAACTGCTGTGTCGAGCTTTTTATTTTTACACAGGCAGATAATTTTCCTTTCATACTTTCTTATCATTTTCTTTCTAACTACAAACGTATTATATGCACATTATTTAAAAATTAAGTATTACAAAGATACTTCACATAGAAAGTAAAAGACTTCTCTAGTTCCATTTAGTAAATCATGAAACAGGATAGAGTCCAGAAATAGACCCATGCATAATATCCTAAACCTTTGTATATGAACAATATTGCATATTTATTTTCAATAAAGATACTGTGTAGTAAGAAATGTGGCCTCCAAAGGATTTTAGTTCCTGAGAAGCAACCTCTAAACCCTTGGAATTTCCTGAGCAATAGGGATGTCTTTGTTTTTCATGGTGGGCCCTGGAACTACACCTGGTATTTTATGTCAGTGAGATGACTCAGAGTGCGGACTGGCCATACAAGAAAAACCAAGCATGTTATTAGGGGCTTGGGGCTTTGAGTCACATGATATCAGCCAAAACTGCAGGGATGAGAGGGCTGGAGATGGAAGTCAACCACCTGGGCAATTGTTCAATAAATCATAATGGAACCTCAGTACAATCTCCAGGCACTAAAGCTCAGGTAAGTTTCTTTGGTTGGCAATACTCTGTGCATATTAGCACATGTCAATGCCAATAGGGTCACACATCCCTGATGATGAGAAAAGTATTGTATTTGAACACTCCCAGATTTTGTCCATGCATCTCTTCCTTTGGCTGGTTTTAATTTGTATGCTTTTGCTATAATAAAACCATAATTGTACGTATAAAGCTTTCTTGAGTTCTGTGAGTCATTCTAGCAAAATATCGAATCTGAAAGTGGTTTTGGGAAAACCCCAAACTTGCAGTTATTGTCTGAAGTGAGGGCAATTTTTGGTGACTGTTCCTTCTGACTGTGCAGTTTGGAAAATCCCTTAGAGATGCCAAGGCAATTCAATAAGAAAATGGCATTTGTTCCCACAAGTGGTACTGCAGTCAATTGATATCCATATGTAAACAAATGAACCTCAATACTTGCCTCATACTATATACAAAAATGAACTTGGAATGAATTGGAGCTATAAATGTAAGAGCTAGAAATACAACATTTCTAGAATGAAAAATAAGTGAAAATCTTTGTGACCTGGGGTTGGGTATATATTAATATATAGGAGATCACAAAAAGCAGGAAACATGGATGAATTGGACTTCATCAAAATTGAAAGGTTTGTTCTTCCAAAGACACCGTTAAGAAAATGAAAAAGGCAAGCCACAGGCTAGGGGAAAATATAGTTCACGCTTGAACAATGCGGAGGTCAGGGACATCAACCCCTTCACAGTTGAAAACCCATGTAAAATTTTATATTTGTATCCAGATGTAACTACTGGGGTCTCCTGTAGACTGGAAGCCTTACCCATAACATGAACACTTGATTAACATTTATTTTGTATGTTATTTGTATTATGTACTGTATCCTCACATTAAAGTAAGTTAGAGAAAAGAGAAGATTATTAAGAAAATCATAAGGAAGAGAAAATACATTTACAGTACTATTCTCTATCAGTACTATAAGTTTATGACATCACTTTATAACATGAATCATTTATATATCAGTACCTACACCGATATTGTCTTATATGATGCAAAACACTGTAGATGTTATATATATTACTAACACAAGACATTAAAAATGAAAAGATAATACGGAAAAGAAATTCATAGTTACTTAAAGGTATAACAGTTTATGCAGTGATAATGAGGAAGCAGCAATATGATTGCTTTGTGGTAGCCTAGTGTGGCTGACACGGTTGCTTTATGGTAGCCTAGCCTAGACACTAATGAATGAATCGTTATACAATTTTTATGGCATGCAGTATTACAGTCATACTCATAGTACAGGAGTAGAAACATTGTTACATTTTCTAATAAGCCACTTACATGTAATAGTAGGCTGATGCACAGTTACTCCAAGTATGAGAAAGAGAGAGAGGGAGGCATACTGTATAGTAATGTGACTTTTGAAAGCAGATCTATAAGATAGTAAGAAAACGAACACATTATTAACCTTATATTAAATATCACTCACCTTCTGCCTATGTAAGGATCGGCTATCCACTTCAATACAAGTCTAGCACACGATGTTCTACATAATGAATCCTTAGGTAGTGATGTTGATGGTGACCCAAACACTTCTCATAGCTTTTACCGTGCACTTACTAGATTTTCATATGAAGACACAACAGATGCTTATTAACTGTACAGCATAATAGTTATTTACTAGTCATTAGGTAGAAGTGGCTTTTCATAAAAGT